GTTTGATAAAAACTATCGATAGTTTTAAACATCGAAAATTGCTTTAGGTCTAATTAGGTTCACTGTTGACTTAAGTTTAAAAAAAATATTGTTTTATCATCAAGGGCATCGCAAGCCCGTGATCAAAGTTAAAACTTCAAAAAACAAAAAATGAGGGTCGATAACGATAACTTTTTACACTAAAGCGTGGTATCGATTATTTTAGTTAAAGTACTTGGTACATCCCTAGCTTGTTTTAGTTTAAGGTGTCAGTATGTTACAGGACAGGCAGAGCCCTGCGTCAGTCGTTCTCTAGAAGTAATAAATATCCGAGTACACGAGAAGAACTCAGTGTTTTGTACGGGTTTTTGGAACCATTTCGCGTTATTGTTCTATTCCATACTGTTTTTTCAACGTTTTCATACAGGAAGGAAAACAATGTTCGTAGGGACAGGGTTTTTTTGTGTATTTTAAAAAATATGCACCATTAAACAGGTAATGTACGAGTATACATGATGTTTTATGTACGAATTATAAAGGAGAGAGTATACAGGTGTCTTTTGCTTTCGCCATGATAAACGGCGAGTTATTACTGCGCAGGAGTTTTTCTTTCTAAATACTGATTATAATCCTGACTAGTGGTTTCAGTGATTAGGTGAATGTCCTGCTAACTTCGGTAGTTAGTGATAAAAAGTATAAATCATTTATTCCAATTAAAGTGTTAATAATGTACATACGAGAGCGTTTCACCGCATTAATAAATAAGTGTTTAATTAAATTAATTAGATCGTCATGGTTACATCGCGTCGTGTGCTGAAAAATCCACTGCAATATGAATTATTAATACTAGACAAATGTGGGTAGTTCACTGACCTCGTATGTAGGCATGAGCATGGTCATCGCCGCTAACGGTTGGTTATCCTTTCAATACGCGCCTACAATGTCTGACACTCATCACAATTATTTGGATTACAGCAATGTAACATTTAATGATTCTCGCACATTATAAAAAAAAAAACAATTTAAAATTACTTATTGTATGTTATTGTGTAGTTTGTCTTGCAACGAAAGTATGTACTGTTTTACCTCGAGTAATACATTACTTAGACTACCTATGTTAAATTCTCGATTATTTCAGAGCCTATGGAAAACAAAATCGAATGTAAATCAATCGGGTAAAGACGTGTTAAATCTATTTAAGATTAGGGAATATTTGCCTGATGTGCTTAGGCAATAATAAATCTCAAAATCATATTTGTACGATGTCTAACTATAACTTCTAACAGAATTAGGACTCGATTGACAAATCAACAAATACGTTTGAAAAAGAATAGAGTATTTTTACATTAAAATTATGTAATTTGATTACGCAATACTATTGAATGAAGCGTTTGAGGTTAGGAGTGTAGCTATGCTGACACGTTTACTATGTTTAAATATGTCGTGAGGTATTCACTGGAACAGATCCAAATGGTGCAAATGTTTACCACCAGCTGTACACCAGAAATAACTGTAAATATTAGTGGGCGGGGTAAAGTACGGTGAAAAACTTATACAAAAAAGTGTGATTTATGTGTGTTTTTTAAAATATGACAGTAAACGATAATATCAAATAACGAGTCTAAAACCACTGTAAAAAAGATTGTTCTATTTACTTATTCTACACTAGTTTCTAGATATTGATACGACTCTATATTTCTGATAATTATAATAGTTTAAATAAATACAAGTATAAATATAGACAGATAAATCGGTAAGAGTTCGATAAAGAAACATTGTAATATGCGACCATGTGTATTTTGAATCACAATTGCAAGTTTATTTGACTTGATAACTTGTTTCAAGGTAAGCAATCGGTCGACGACCTCATCAATACAATTTAATAAAACAAATTATTTAAATAAACGTAGTCTAGTCGTGTTGCAGTCTAATTAATGATCTAATTTAAAAGTCGTATTTTTTATGAATTTTAAATAATTTGTGACATCAAATAATTAACGTAGTAGCTTAAAAGATTAATGTATTCTTAAATTTATAACCATCAAATGTTCCCAATTTGGAAAGCGTGGAATGTTGTCTTTAGTACCGAATTTCCGAGTCGCTTTCCCTCTTTAATAGATAAGAGTTTATTTATGCAAACTGGCGACGTGAAATACTTATTCGATGTAAAACGCTGACACTGGTATTATTTTACGAACGTTTCAATTACGTTTATGTACAAATACGATAAAACGAACGACACACTTTATGTTAACTATTTATGCTTTCGATTTTAATTTGACGACAGAAACGGATGCAGCGGCGATACCAAACTAAACAGCACTTCCGTAATGGCGAGATACCACTGCCAGCATCAGTAACTAACAAATAAAATAATATAAATAGGATGCGCATCACTAACCTAAAGTTATAGGGAAATACTACGGTCTTCTATTAGGAACTTTTCTTTTTTGAGTCTTCCACATTCAAGTCCAAAGGATGTGAGGGTACTGGTGTGGCCTTTCGTTTTTTTATCACTAATCTGCTCTATGTCAATTCGTCTAATTTACGTACTGTCTTTTGCGACACAAAATTCTAACAATGTTCTTTCAGTACTGCGTTGAATACCGCTATCTTTGATCCTAATGCTTACCGGTAACTTACAATAATGTATCTACAATTTAGAAGTTGTTCAATTTAACTTATAGCAGCAAAACCTTTGTTTTTTTTTTTTTTATAACATAAGGTGGCAAACGAGCAAGCGGCGCGCCGCCAAAATGGCGAAGCGACCGCTGCCCATAGACATCCGCAATTGCAGATGCGTTGCCTACCCTTATACGACGGAGGAGGAGACGCACATAAAGAGCATATTTCCCCTTTCTATGCATCTCCTCCACCGTCAAATCCACTTCCCCTTACCAACCTCTTCTTATAAGAAAAGGGTGGTAAGGAGAAAGGGACTTAAATTAGGCCTCCGGCACCACACTCATCAGATGAAATACGGAATTGCTTCCATTTCACGCCTGTCTTCTGTGTGGTCGTGGTATTACACCGGGCGTGCCGGCCCATTCATTCTATGATGTTAAAGCGGGCACTACCACTGTCAGAAATTGTCAGTTCCATCGACACGTAACAGAGTTAGGTGAAGGAAAACGGCCGTAAAACGTTGTTGATAAGTTCACAGCGTTAAGCGAACGAGTCGGAGTCAGACGTTGACTCCAGTAGATAATGGAGTCGAGACAACACCAATTAACGAATACCACGACACTTGGCTCACCAGATACCAGTAATGGATGTGTACACTCTAACCAATTAAGCATTTGTTATTTTGAGTCAAGCAATGACGTCATTTAAACACATCTTTCATCGTCTAACTCAGAAATTGATTCATTGGAAATGAGAACACTACTAAATAAAATTTATGGATAAAACTGTTTTTTCGATATTCGTTTGTCTGAGCGCAGATAAGATTAATTTTCCATGACGTAATCCTTGCTATGAAAAATAAACGGTCATTTTTATTTGAACTAAATAGTGCTATAGTTTAAACATACTGAAATATTTCAAGTTGCTTTTTCCGTCATATATAGGGATAAAGTTACATTTTCAATTCACATATTCATAAACATGATTAATTTTAACACCCATATTAGTAATCTGAATTACTTGAACATGTACAATGACGTCATTCGAAAACATTTCGGTGAAAAGGATATCATTATCGTTTGTAGTGACAACAATTAATCATCATTAGCATAGAGATCGGTTGCATTGTTCCGCTCCAAACATGTCTGCCCACTAACATCGCAGGGCGCGTCGCTGCCTAGCTGCCGAGGCGGATGTCGCACTATCTGTCGCTTCGTCCGTTGATAGGACACGTCTAACAACTTGACATTATGTACCAACGTTTATCAGAACAGCTAAGCATCGGTTACGTGTCTATTTTAGACCTTTTGTCTCCCGTTTAAAATATAAACACGTAGATAAATGCTTTGTTAGTCATGTATTGTACGAACTAAGTTATAAGAAGCTTGTTCTATCTAATTGAAATGATTGTGCTCTTTTGAATAATTTTCTACGAATTTTTGACCGACTTCCCAAAAGAAGGAGGTACGCAATTCGTCGACATGTTTTTTTTTAATTTTTTATCATATTTGGATCAGCGAAATAAAGAGTTTGTAATATAATGTTGATCAGAGTAAACTACGTGAAACAAAGTGACCTCTCTGTTCCATTTGAGATTAATAACCATGTCAAGAAGTGAAATGTTCGAATCCTTAAATAGAAATGGTTCAAAAACATTTAGTTTCTGCTTTCCTAACATAAAGTTTACACAATTCGCATGACCGGGTGCAGAGATACGCATTGTCATCGCATTTTAGACGGCAGTTTGCTACCGATTGGAAGCCCAAGTTTGAGCATCGAGTGTCGACCATCGGGTATGTTTATATTCGGGCGGTGCTCGCGTCCTCGTCGCAGCCGCTCTGGTTCGTTGTTTTGCTTCTCGTCCTGCGCGACGCGATAATTATTATTATCGCTATGATTGATGGCGGCTCGTCGTAACTAAACGGCGTCAATAATATAAATAGATAGTCGGTTTACGCCGCCGCGACAACGTTCGCTTTATTACTTATATTTAATACCGTAACGAGACTCGACTAAGTTTTCCACTCGGTTATATAGGGTGAATTCTAATTTCCGCAAAAATGCCGGCTGTCTTGCCGGGTCGTTTTCGCCCCTGCAGAGCGGGGTGTGCGCGGGTGTGGGGGCGCGCGGCTTACGCGAGGGTGGCGGCTGCGACTGCGCGCTGGCCGCCAGGGGCGACGCAACCCCCGGGGAAGCTTCCCTTCCCGCCCCCGGCCCCGACACCTCGCACCCTACGCGCCCCCTTCGATCGTACCCAGCTCGATTATTAAGCACTCATTCAAGCTCTAACTCCCTGTTATTGCTATAGCAACGCGGTGTTGCGGCGATCGGCCTTACTTACCCTGCTTTTTGAGGTTCGAGATGGTAATAATAAAGCAATAATATTAAGTACTGACCATTAGCGGAGCGCGCTGCCGGCGACGTTGCCTCCTTGCTGCGAGCATTCTCCTTCTCCTTACCATTATTACCTGAGAACAAGGAAATTACAATTGCTGTGATAAAGTAGCATCAAGCATCAAGTATTTATTACGACAGCACTATTTGTAATGTTACAAGGAATCAAGTTATAAATATATAGGTATCCACTAAACTATAGATACTGAAAATTAAGATTTACGGCGATTAGGATTTTATATCTAACTAACCAAACATAGATGTGACCTAAGTACATAACGTACGAGTAAATGGATCAAATAATTTGTAGTAAAAATAATTTCATCGCAAGTCTGACGGCATAATTGTGTCTCAGTAGATTTTTAATTTATATTTTAAAATGTATAATGATTGTAGTAAGTCAAAATGTATGTAACGTTCCCGCATAAAATCTTGCCAACCCAACCGATAAAATGGCGATAAAACTTTCGATACCAGTGCGCATTGGAAAGACGCCATGACTGTAAAAAATGTATAATAACAACCGCAAATAGATGTAAGAAATTAAACAGTAATCATTAATAGGTTAATCTACCGTTATCTTTATTTGTTAGAGACCCATAATCGTATGTGTTTGATTTGTAGATATTTGTATAACAATAACGATTTACTATTTTATAGATTTCTCTGATAGCTAAGTGTTAGAAGACGTGCTCTAGAATGTTGAAATATAAGTATTGCACAAGATTTATCCCGTCTAGATGCAAAAACCGGTTAGATTTGGATCGAAGCCGGAAATACGTGGAGATAGGAGACGCGGGGTGGTTGCGGAGCGGGTGTCGCACCGCACAGCGTCGCATCGCGCATTCCCTCAACTAGAGATGGGTCGTTAACAAAAAAAAAACCGTCAACGAAACGTTACGTTACTTTGCTTTAAGTTTTTTGATAAAGTAGTTTATTTTGTTAACTTCTTGAGGGCATACCAAGTTTAATCAAAGATGACTCGAATGAATTCGACGAAAAAAAATATCAATGACTTGTGTATAGTCCGTTTAGCTATATATTACTAGTTTAATGGAAAACAGTTACGTTGACTGTAGATCGACGGTTGATGCAACTATTTCGTTGAATCCACGGCCATCTCTACCTGCACTCGGACCCTCTGCTTCGCCGCGCCGACCGACCGGTCTCCGTCCCCCGAGCGTTCAACCCGCCGACACTCGCGAATTTACAATCAACTTTCCCTTATAATGTATCAAGCGATAATTAGCTATCGCATTTTAAGGATGAATCAACATGAACTCGAACTGTCTCTTTAAAATAAGAACAAATTGATCCATAAGGAATTGAACTCATAAATCGATGTATATTTTGTGCCTAATATTTTTTTTAAGGAAAATAACTTCGCATATAAACTTTACACAAATTGTGATATTTTAACGAGTAACGAATAAGGATAATTAGTTTTACTAAGCGGTAATTGCATGGAAATTATAAATCCATAAATAATAACAAATGATTTATTTAAACAATTTAATAAGACTTTCTGTTTTTATAGTCGCGTTGACAACTCAAGAATTATTTTTAAATTAAATGAGTTTTGTATGCTTTTAAGCAAATTTTTGATAATTATAAATGTATAAATTTCTTCTTCAAAATCTCTTTGTTGCCCTTCTACATTACTGTAATATTATAGTTACATTAGATAATAATAATATAAGACCTAATAAAACTTACAATACTTTTGTTCTACTAAAAGGGAAGAATTTTAACATAAATTTTGGCTGATCATGTAATTTATTACCACTATTTGATAAGTTGCAATAAGAGCTAATAGTCTGTGATAATAGCGCTATAAAATTAATTAGACGATTGCAACGTCGGAGTTGTGTTCATGGCAAAGGCGCGGCCTTGGCAGTGGCGTTCACTCGCGGCCCCTTCGCCCCGCCACGCCGCACATTGGCCACACCATCTGTGATCACATCCCGTACGATGTGTCTCCTTAAACATACTAACGAAATACAAATAACTAACTGTTTTCGTGCGGCTTCATCCGCATGAAATTCTAAAAACTCTATTTTATTGTTTACATTTGTTTAATTATCAATTGCAAATGTCAAAATAACTGTGACTATAATAACCTTACTTTAATTTATTTGCATCCTAAGTGTAATAGCTGAAAATATATAGCCTAAAGCGTGACCTAAGTGTAGAGCTTTTTATTAATGAAAGAATTATTCTAAAATATGCTGTGATGGCTGACATCCTATGCCACGAAGTAGGGTGTGTTTACGTATTATTATATTAGTATAGAAAAACAGATTAAATCGAAATTTAAATAATCGTATAAATTTATTTTATTCCTCAATATAAAACCGCAATGATTATTTCAAAGTTTGACCGCTGTTGCCAGCTTACAGCAGAATATGTAGGAAAACTGATCATTCTGACCACATCACTAATGAACCCTATAACATTAGTACTGGCAATTAAACTCATGGTGCTATATCGGTTATACGTGTAATTAAGTGTTTTTAATATTAAAGGAAACAAATACACGAGCTATATTAAGAATTGACGCAACGAACATGTGTGGTATCGAAAATGTATGTTCACATCACAAACCGAGTTTATAATTTTAAATGTGTGTACAGTTTTATATTATTTCAACAAAACGGACATAAATTTAGACTTTTCCGTTCTGTTTATAATACAAAAAATTCCATAAAATGTTCAATTGTTCAGTTTCCTGGCGTTGGGTTTTCCATTAAATTCTAAACACTTTTACCTATTTTTCTAAGCTCTGACTTTAGTTAAAACTACCGGGTTAGTTAAAGGTGATCTGTATAATTTATCATGAATTCGGATGTATGACGAATAAGTAATTTGTAAGGTCCTAATATCAAGGAGTTGGTGCAAGTGAAGCGCGGCGCCGCGCGCTGCGACTTGCCCATATTGGATTACTACGAGGCCGTACTCAAGCGTGTGATACGAAAGGATACTAAGGTTAAGCTTGGTAATATCACGCACTACTCACAACTTGATTTATATTGTTTCCGCACCATAGTGTCGCTAACAGTTTAAACTGACTATATTTAAAATTGTTTTTTACTTCCTTACCCTTATTAACATTAACGAAATACTTAAAGAAACAAGTCTCTAAGTATTATTCAAATGTCTAGAAATATACGTTGAAATTGTTTAGGTTATAAATATTAAAATTAGTCGAAATTTTAAAAAATACACGATTGATGGATTAAAAGTGGTGGACTCATTTTTTTAATTTTAGAAAATGGAAAGATTAAAAAATACATTTCTATAAATAAATGATAAAACATATGTTCATTTGTTTAATTTGAGTGTACCAATGTCCTTAAAATACAAGTCATTTTTTTATATGACTGTACGGTGCCATATGGCGTTCATGGGTCGACAAAGTCGTGGCCGTAAAAGCTTTGAGGTTGCCTGACTGTATGGTAAGTTATATGTATGTTTGAAAGAACGTAGTCATGCCCAAATTATGGTGTCTTATAATTAATTTCTAACTTTTTCGTTTGATTTTAAACTATAGTTATCTATAGTATAATTTACTGAAATTACTTAAATAATTAGTTAAATTAGTTTAAAAATACCTTTAGAAATTTGCATCAACATAAAATACAACAGTTAACATTAGTAAACAATTGTATTAAATTTTCCTCAACTTTCAATTACATCCCTGAAGTTGTTTTATTTTATTTTTTCCATACATTTCAATAACATCTGTTTCTATAGAAAGTATACATAAATAAGTATTTATCTTTAAATATAAGTTTTCATATTTATATAGAGATAAATTATACAAAAATAAACAGCTATCAGTTTCACATATTGTACAAATAACATAAACAATATGCGGAAAAGTGAGCACATTATCGCAAATTGTTCGTACATTGTTTTAATATGGGGTTGTTGACCAGTCGTGGGTACAGTCGCCTACGTATGCGATCTTAGTTAATGAAATATCGTCTTGCAGCTCAAAACTAATTTAAACCTTACCCCTTCTTGCAAATAAATTGTTAAGGTGTTATCTATATTTTAATCAAATTAGATGCAGCACTGTATCTGTTACATAGTGTAAAACACGCCATCTATACAATATTTATCGACCTATAGCGTATTACATGTTCGAATTCTTGTCTTTTTTGAGATGGCACACAGCGAAGGATGCTGACTGTACTTATAGCCGCAGCCGCTTGCCGTATGAGATGTCGATACGAGAGGCGCTCGTGGCTTCGTGTGATGTCGGTTCGGTCTCGGTATGTCATCGACCGGATGTAGTCGTAGATTCGGAGTCGGTCGGAGACGGATGTGCCGCCATTTGCATTCATGTCGCACACTCGCCGACAATGCGGCGGACTATCCTACCGGAATAACGATTGTGGCGAGCACCAATATATTTTTTTATTTTTTATTATACATGCATAGATGATTTCAGACAGTGCTAAGCTGTTGTATACTTGCTAAACATTTGCTACTGGAAAAACCTTTTTTTCTATAGTGAATGAGATGCGAAAGTATGTACGTTTGGATGGATGTTTGTTAGAAGGCATATCCTACACGGCTGAAATGATCTCCATGATACTTGGCTTAGATGTAGAGCATAGTCTGGAGGAATACGTAGCCTACTTTACCATTCCACACGGACGGAGTCGCGGGTGACAGCGAGTAGACAATAAATGATATTGTCAGCGAGTGAAATGTGTAAATATAATTTGTCAATTCAATTGAATTCGTCTATACGTGCTTGTAACTCGACAGGTACTTTATCGCGTATTGATATTACGGGGCGTGTGTGCAAATTTTATTGACACGATAAACCACTTGCGATAATTTTATTTTTGCTAAGTGGGACTGTGTTATACTTTTAAAAAATTAAATGTTGTTGATCATATTTGAAGGCTCATATTTGCAGTCAGTTGTTAAGTGACTCACTAACTGAAGCTTTAGTATGACAAATCTACACTGAGCGTCGCCCTTAGTAAATTATTAATGACTGCTGCTGTATGTTTTTAAGCCGTGTTATCTATATTTTTCAAAATAAAATATTATTTTT